AAGCTGTTACCATGGCTCCAAGATTCGATGAAAGTAAATTACAAGAACCAAAGGCTGCTCGAACTTGGTACCGTGGTTTCCAAAAAGTTTCGCTGAATTACGGACCAGCTTTTAATGGGTTAAGTAATATCCGTACCAATCCAGCTCTGGAAGAAGCCGTTGCGGACACTGAGCTCTGTCCTGATGGTGTCTCTGAGCATGATTCCGCATATATCGTACACCCCGCAGCGATGGACACCTGCATTCAAGTTGCACTGATTGGAGCACACAAAGGCTCCTTAGCCGGCTTAAAAAGATCATTTGTTCCAACGTCAATGGCTAATGTCTCCTTATGGTCCTGGGCCGATGATGATCACATCACTCAATTGACCCCTGGAAAAGGCAAGGTCCTTGCACATGCAGAGTTTTTCAGTCTACGTGCCATGAATGGGTGGTGTCAGCTTTTCTCACCTGAAGGCAAGCCATTGTTTGAGATTGAAGAGCTGTCATGTACTCAGTATTCGGAAGCCCTTGATGACCTTGGAACGATAGATCGTCACCCATACCTTCGCACTGTATGGAAGCCAGATGTCGATAAGATGGTCTCCAACTTGACTGATAATTCTCTACTCGATCTTATTGTCCACAAACGTCCTGGATTTAACATCTGTGAGATTTTAAATACAGAATCAATGATTTCCGACAACCTTCACAGAGTTCTTGAAAGCGGTTCATCCCTTCGTCGGTACAAGACTTATACTGTTATGGCTCTCGGCGACGTTGATATAGAGCCAATAAAAGTCAAGTATGAAGCTTTCCCTGGTGTTGTAGTGCAGAAGTTGGTTTTAGACGATGTCCCGGAGACATTCTTTGATTTGCTCATTGTGCCTCAATTTCCTAGCGACGAGATTGATTTAACAAAACTCAAAGGTCTATTAACACCAGGTGGAAACATGCTGCTTTATAGTTCAGAGTTCAAGAATGGCAATACAATCAAAACAGATCTTCAATTGGCTGGACTTTACACACTTCTTGAAGACAAAGAGTCTTTGCTAGTTAGTCCCCATCAAAGGACCAGTTCTGATCTGCCAGCAGGAGAGATTGTACTCGTCACAAGAACTTCTCCAACGGTATTCGACTCTCATATCTATTCTGGATTGTCAAAGAGTGGAAGGTTAATCACCTCAATTTCCCTACAAGACTTCAAATCCCACGCTCATACAAAAGCAACCTACGTTTTTATTGTGGAGTCCGAGTCTAGTATATTTCATGAATCTTTGACGAGCCAAGAGCTAGCAACAATACAGTCAATCGCAAGTGGAGCGACAAATATGCTATGGGTTACTCATGGCAATCTTCTGGAGGGAGGCGATCCTAATGCTGGAATAGTCATTGGACTAGGCCGCTGTCTTCAGACAGAGCATCCAACTCTTACTTTTAAAACTTTGGACTTGGATCATCGAGATCCTATACAGACTATCTCCAACATAACAACCATTCTGGATGCAGCTGACAGTGAAGACGAAGATAAAGAGTTTATGGTCAAAAATGGTATTTTCTATGTCAGCAGACTTTCTCAAGACCCTCTACTGGATCAACAGTTTGTTGCTGGGGTTGAGTCGGAGCCGAAAATGATCCCATATGAGCCAGAAAAATGTATCAGGTTGGGGATCGAGCGCGTCGGTATTTTTGATACGATACACTTTAAGGACGATGAGTTGGAAGCTTCACTTAAACCTGGAGAAGTCGAGGTAGATGTGAAAGCAGTCGGTTTGAACATGAAGGTAAAAGACTAAGACTTTTCTGGTTTCTCAAAGCTAAACTATTATAGGATTTCGCAACGCTGCAAGGAACTTATAATTCGGAAATACTGGGTCTTGAAGGTGCTGGTATAGTCAGAAGCATCGGTACTGGGGTCACAAATGTTGCCATTGGCGACCGAGTAAGTTGGGCTGGTTTTGGAAACTTCCGTAACATCGAAAGATATGACTCCAGATTCCTCCAGAAACTTAAACCTGAGGAGACCTTCGATCAGATATCAAGTATTATGATGCCATTCTTAACTGCTATATATGGATTAATATATCTTGCCAAGCTTCAACCAGGAGAATCGGTACTCATTAACTCTGCTACTGGAGGTGTAGGACTTGCGGCAATTCAGATCGCAAAAATGATTGGTGCTGAAATTTTTGCTACTGTTGGAACTCCAGAAAAGAAGAAATTCTTGATGCAAGAATATGGTCTTCAGGATGATCATGTTTTATCATCGAAAGATGCAAGCTTTGCAGCTGAAATCATGCAGACTACAGGTGGCCGTGGAGTTGATGTATCCCTCAACTCGCTTGTTCGTGAGCAATTGAGAGCCACCTGGAACTGTATAGGACACCACGGTCGTCATATTGAGCTCGGACAGACCGATATCCTAGATCAAGGTATACTGGACATGAGTCCTTTCAAGAGAGGCGCTTCTTTTATTGCCATGGACTTGGTTCTTGTTTTCGAACACAAGCCGGATCTTATTTCTCAGTAAGTTAACACATTCCCGACGGGATCTATTCACACTGACATCAATAGGATCTTGGGCGAAATTATGCAATACTATCGAGATTGTAAGATCCAACCCCTCCCAAATCTATCGGTTTTCCCTGTCTCTGCAATTGGCCAGGCTTTTGAAGAGTTTGGCAAAAACAGTAGAATTGGAAGGGTTGTTGTCAGCTTTGACACTGAGACGATCAATGTAAGTTATTCCATAATTCATTCAAGATTGTGCTAATCAGACGCGTCTCAGTTTGCGAAGAAGAAGAAGTCAATTGCTTTCAAGTCAAATGGTTCATACCTACTTGTTGGGTGTCTTGGAGGCCTTGGTCGATGTTTGGCTCGTCACATGGTTGAAAAGGGCGCTCGTCACTTGATTTTCCTTGGGCGCTCTGGTGAAGACAGACCTGAAGCTGCATCCATGATTAAAGATTTTAGAAATGATGGAATCACTGTGGATGTAGTGAAAGGAGATGTTACGAGAATTTCCGACGTCCAAAAAGCAGTTGACTTGGCTGCCGGTCCGTTATTCGGTGTTGTGCAAGGTGTAATGGCTTTAGATGTAAGTTGACTGAAATGTGGGGTTTTATGAGTGAAATACTAAAATTATGAAACAGGATCGACTTTTTACAAGCCATGACCTGAATAGCTGGGAATACGCCGTTCGTCCTAAGGTCACAGGAACTTGGAATCTTCACAATGCCGTTGCAAGCCACTCTCTAGACTTCTTTGTCATGCTCGGATCATCATCTGCTTTATCTGGTTTCCCAACACAAAGTAATTATTGCGCAGGAAATTCTTTCCTCGAATTCTTTGCGAGATACCGTCAAAGTAAAGGTCTACCAGCAACCACCATCTCACTTACCGTCGTCACCGAAGTTGGATTTGTGAGTCAAAATGAGAGAATCGAAGATGGTCTAGCTAGAACAGGAGTTCATACCATCAACGAAGCTGGTGTCATTGATCTCATCGATACTGCCATGATGAAAGCCCCCTCATCATCCTGGAACCTGGATCCATTGGCCAACAGCTTCATCGTAACCGGCGTTGAGCCCCTCCAATTGAGTGCAAATCTCGACATTGATAGCATACCATTTTGGAGACAGCCACGTATTGGACCTGTTTTTAACGCGGTTCTGGCCAAGAAATCAGGAAACGAAACTGGTCCTGGGCAAAATAAACGCAGACTTTTGTTACCCGATATCTTGGAGATGATAACAGAGAAATTTTCCCAGACATTCAATGTGGCTGTTGAAGATATTGACCCCGGAACTGAAGTAGTCAGGTTTGGTATGGATAGTATGATTGGAACGAGCTTAAGAACGTGGTGTTATAAGACTCTGGGGGCTGATATTGCAGCATCAGAGTTCATGAGCTTAAATTTGACGGCGGATTCATTGGCGAAGAAGATTTATGATATAAGAAAGGGGTGATAGAGGAAGTAACGCGGCTCAGATATTGATTGAAATCCTTGTTGTTTTAATACTTGGTTAATGTTATGTAGTTTATCTTGTTGACCCAACTCATCTTGTATTCACTTCCATAGATATTCAGTTCACTTGAATAAATGGGTCCGTGTGGTTTATTCAATATGTTGAATTAGGTAAACAAATGTAGATGAGCCTGAAAGTAAGGCTCTTTGACTTGCCAAGAATAAGTAATGAAAGCATGATACTATCTTTCTTCCCGGATATCACATTGGTCTCGTTGTAGTAGTGTGGGGAGGTTGATCATGTATCTATTTAAATTCTTTACTTTTCTCACAGTAGCCAACTTTGCTTGAATCCTTTGATTTTTGATGCTACATATATAGACACCAAAACTCCACATCAATATCCAGGAGATGCAGGGATAGTTTTCCAGACAAGAAATGCGTTTGTAGTTGTCACATGACTAACGTAGCTGGCAGGGAATTGGCAGAAATGAGAAAATCAAGCAAGCAATCGCTATGGGATATCCACCGCCTGCCATCATGACCATCATTTTGTACTTTCGCAATCACGTGACAAAAAACACCAGGTCACCTTGAATGCCGGTGTAGGCTGGTGTAGCCAGAATCATGAAAAATATACTTTTAAATACCTTATGCTTAATGTCTCGTATCAGCCATCCTCAAGCATCTTAAACGTCTCCGGCTCGGTGACCGTATCCCAAAGACAAACCTTCGGTCTCCGAATGAGTTTCCATGGTTAATCTTCGGATTCCATGTTCAATTCCACCATGGATATTGACCCACATCTCAGAGTTCGAGAGCGTATGAATCAACGCAAGCAAAGCCGGTCTATCTGTAAGACTCGATCCTGAGTTACTTTTAATTGATGGCGGGGATCTCGTGGTTTAAGTAAGTACCGGCAGAGGAAGGAGGTGCGAATAGTAGTCATCATTTCTCACGCACGTATGTAATGAACATATCCTTCGTAGACCATAGCATAAATGACAAGAAAAAAACAATATCCAGACCCAATCCTTCAATCAACATTGCTATCATGACTCAAACTTCCCAAATGAAAGTTGTAATAGTAGGCGGATCGATCGCAGGCCTAACCCTCGCACACTGTCTATCACGCTATGGAATCGACTACATCATTCTCGAGCGCCGCCACGATATAGCGCCACAAGTAGGTGCTTCAGTAAGTTTGATGCCTAATGGATCACGAATTTTAGATCAATTGGGAATGTTTGATGCGGTCTCGGAAAACATTGAACCTTGTGTTTTTATGCAGACATGGGATGAGAACGGGAGGTTGCTTTCTGAAACTGATGCGCCGATTTTGACGGGAAAGAGGTATGTGATTTTCAATTTGAGAAGGTAGATTGCAGTGAGATTAGATAGAAGGACTGATTTGGGATAGATTGGGTTACACGATAACGTTCTTGGAAAGGGAGACACTTTTGGAAATTTTGTATCGACACCTTCCCGATAAATCGAAAGTTCTGACTGGCAAATATGTCAGGTCAATTGAACAAGATAGTAAAGAAGCGGTTGTAATCTGCGAAGATGGATCAAGGTATTCTGGAGATGTGATTGCAGGTGCAGATGGCATCCATAGCACTATAAGATCAGAAATGCGAAGACAGATCGCAAAGGAGGGAACGACAAAAGATCTTGAAGCGTTGAAAAGAGATGAAATTGCTCTTTCGGCAGAATACAGTTGTTTATTCGGAATCTCTAAACCAATTCCAGGATTGGAAATCGGACATACGCATCGCAGTTCAGGAAAGGGCGCTTCGACTCTATTGTTTGGTGGCGTGGATGGAAAATTATATTGGTTTCTGTTCACCAAGAATGAAGAAAGAACATTTGGTGATGGCATTCCGCGCTATAAAAAAGGCGATGAAACTAATCATGTAGCAAAATACATGCATCATCACGTATCGGGCAACATTCTCCTTTCCGAAGTGTGGAAAAATCGTATCGTGGCAAATTTTGTCACCATCGAGGAAATGGAGAATGAACACTGGAATTGGAATCGCGTTGCATGTCTTGGAGATTCCATACACAAGGTTTGTGCCCAAATCTTCAAGACGAGAATTGCTTTCTGTGCTAATACAGATTCGTTAGATGACACCAAATCTTGGCCAAGGAGCAAATTGTGCAATTGAAAGTGCAGCAGAAATGGCTAATAGTCTAGCGAAAGCGCTGAGAGACGACGGCAGTAAACCTGCTATTGAAGATATCAACAGCGCTTTATCGCTCTATTATCAGAAACGTAACGTAAGAGCAAATTTGATCGTGAAAGCAGCAAACAAATTTACTCGTGTAGAAGCACTTGCTACGACGGGTGATTGGGTCGCATCTATGTTTATAATTCCACGCTTAGGAGATATTCTTGCCGACCGAGGTGCAAAGGTTCAGGTTGGAGCTACGAAATTGGACTGTCTGCCGATGCCAAAAAGAGCATTGGAAGGGACAATGCCTTGGAGTACGAACTCTGGTATTGGAAAGGAGGAGAATCGAAAGCGAAGAGCCCAGCTTGCATTGCCATTAATTCTCATCGCTCTTTGGTTCTTCTGGAAGAAAACACCAGAACCAAAGGGATTTCCAGTGACGAAAACCTTCTCAGAGGTGAAATTGGACATGCTGAGCTCTATTGCCAATGCCATACCATTTGCAACCATCTGGACAATTGAAAGTTACCGTCGCGGAAACGCTCTCACCGTAGCGAATATCTTGTAAGTCACCTTCGCTTCCTGGCATTTTTTTTAAACCTACTAAGAGAATTAAAACAGCCCTACCGCATTCCTTTTGCTGGCTCAAAAGCTTGGAATTGAACTCGTTGCTCCAATCTATTTCTTTTTTCACTACGTTCAATCACCGCAGGAAAATTTTGCGGCCCTTGATAATCGACTGACAAATATAGCTTTCGCAAAAATATTGCCTCTGGCAATACTTTCGATTTTCTTGGGTCCCTCCTATTGCATATGGAGCTCTATCGAGCTTGAGTCTGCGCAATGGATATACGACAATGCTTGGTATTGGTATCCAGTCTACTTGACCATTTTTTTGAGAATTCTGAAATTTATCGTGAAGGACACTACTCGACTAAACAGGATATACAAGCCTACAGCAGATTTGACGTATCTACGGATTTCATACAGCATTTCCATTCTTATTTGTGCAGCGTTTTATCTGTACGGAAGCCTCAGTAGTTCAACATCGATAGCTTTCCTCACTCAAGAGCTGCAACCTCCAATTCAGCCGATTCAGGCGATTCTGGGTGCTTTTTCGGAGCTTTGGGCGGCGAAACAGACCTCTTTATACGGTGCCGCATTTTATTGGACATTTCTTCATTTCGCCGATTTAAAATTCGTCGGAAAATTAAAGCAAAGCTGGCTTTTGATTTTGACGATATTTCTCTCTTCTACCTTTTTGGCGGGACCAGGTGTAGGCTTGATAGTAATGTGGGCGTGGAGAGAGGAAATAATGGCAAAAAAACATGTAGTCCCCGAGTAAATTGGATGTTGGGTGGTAAGCGTGGCAAATAGAACAACAATCGTGTCAGCGACAACTATAACCTTGCTTGAATGATACCACGTATAAAAATGATTGGTGATATGGAGAGAGTGGACGGATAGTTGATTGATTGAATCGATATCTGTGTTGTTGGTGAAGGATTGGATGACCCTTGATTATAGAAGTGCCAATTTGGACAATGATTATTCACCAGCTCATCGAATTAGAGCTCAAGAAACTTCACTTTCCAATTCTGAGGCTCGGTGACGTTCGTTGGTTGAGACCCAACATCCGTGAAAAATTTCCCCAAAGTCAATCCCCACCTGCTTCGGAGATCTACAATGAACACCGAAGGCAACCGACGAAAGGTGCAGCGGAACGGGCTCCACACATATGTATCGATGAATCCCAAATAATGCGTCACAGAATTCTCCATTTCCAAACCAATCTGGAAAAATGTATCAAAGATTGAAGGAAATCAATTTTCGAAACCCTCTGGAGTTAGAATGGAACAGTATCTTTTTGATCTTAGGATTCTTTATTCTAGCTGCCATCTTAATTGCATGGACTCAGAGGCCCGATGAAGAGTTGCTGCTCGAGAGGTTAAAAGATCTCGATTTACCGATTGTAGGAGTGGGACCAAATGTCAATGTTAGTGAGTCGCTAGAAATCGGCACTCAAACTGTAAGCTTTGAAACTCCAGAATAACATGCGGTTAATACTAATCCTACAAAGTACCCAAATTCGCCATACGTTGTACCGGCCGATCGTGTTCCCATTGTCATTCTGCCAAACTCAGCCATCAACATCATAAAGTCTCTCCCAGAAGCAAAGATATCATTTGAAAAAGAAGTGTACGCTCGACATCTGGCTCACCTCTTGCTCAAAAAAGACCAGAAAATTTTCTCCGAACCGATTCTTAATTCAATCAAGCAGGACCTTACTCGGAACATTTCGAAAACCCTTGATACGTTATGGGATGAGGTAGACTACGCATTCGAAAAGAACATCGGAAGTTTGCCAGATGACGACGAAGGATGGAAGAACGTGTCAGTGTATGGAAAGGTACTAAATGTGGTTGCATTGTTATCTGGAAGAGTATTTGTTGGTGCGCCGTTGTGCCGTGACGAAGAGTGGATCAAAGCGACGATTGCATACACGATAATCCTCGGGGTAACAGTTGGAATGCTCTGGAAACGCCCTTGGTGGCAACGTAAAATTCTGGCACCCCTATATTTCCGAACTTTAGTTGGTGTGCACAAGAAAGCCGAAGAACTGTTGAAACCACTCCTAGAACGCGAAGCCGCACTCGATCCCTCAGAGTGGGAAAAGAAAGCCGAAGAACAAAATGATGGACAACTTATCAGATGGTTACTATCACATACCCCGCAGAAGGGTGGAAAGATAGATGTGAAGCAATTGGCCCATGATCAATTGACAGTGAGCTTAGCTGCTATTCACACCACCAGCATTACGATATCCCATCTCTTATATGACCTGGCAACCTATCCCGAACATGTAGCTCCGCTCCGAACAGAATTGGAATCCGTCATTGCCGACCACAAAACAGCTGGGGGAAATGGAAAATTGAGTAAGGTAGAATTGACCAAATTGTGGAAGATGGATAGTTTTATCAAAGAGTCGCAGAGACTTAACCCACCAATTCTTGGTAAAGAATCCACCCCATGAGAGACATGTTGAGACTAATTCATGATTGTCCCGATTAACAGTCCAGATGCGTCGATATCTCACCTCACCACTGGCTCTACCCTCGGGTCATATCCTTCCATCAGGAACATTTTGTGGAGTAGATGCACAAATGACAAATCGCACAGTTCCATACTATGAGGCTTCTCCAATAACGCACCAGCAAACACCGTTCGACACATTTGATGGATTCCGCTTCAGTAAACTGCGATCTGTGCCAGGGAATGAGAATCGATATCAATTCGTTACGTCCAGTACAGAGAGTTTGAACTTTGGGCATGGTACGTTCTTCATTAATCTCGACACGCTCTTTGATTTATGCTTATCGATCAACGAATTAGGAACTCATGCGTGCCCTGGGCGCTTCTTTGCAAGCAACGAAATCAAGATTGCTTTTGCAGAGGTGTTGTTGAAATGGGACGTGAGACTCAAACCGGGAGAAGGAAGGCCAGCGAATTTGTACACTGACACAAACGTGATGCCGAACATGAAAGGAGAGGTGCAGATGAGAAGAAGAGAGTTAATTTGAGAATCAATGAATAAGAATTAATTGAATGACGTTTCCTTGTCAAGCAGAGGTTAACGTGCGCTTGCTAGAAAATCATGATCTACTCAATTATGTTGTAATGTGTTGTGTTCTGTTGTACAGTAAAACCTCTCTATAAGGATGCCGGTTCTTGTAGTATTTGTAAGGATATACAACTTGTAAAGAGGTATCCGACTAATCCCGACCCACTAGCAGCTGAAATTTGACTAGTCTTGATCGGGTCATATTCTCGCGTTAGTTTCATTATTTTCCATTTCAACTAAAATGCTGATATATTCATCATATGATAGTTGAATATTGAGGATTTTATTGCTTTAGTAAGAATATACGTAACTGTAAACCGGGAATCATAAGAATATTCTTTTAAAGCGATTATTCTTATAAAGCGATTATTCTTATAAAGAGATTATTCTTATAAAGAGATTATCCTTATAAAGAGATTATACCGTAATGTTAGATATTAAATGTTTCAAAGAGAAATTCCGAAGTGGGCCCATCATAATTCCGTGCTGTCCGTTTCTTACCTCCAAAAATCCGCAAGTGGCATGTTACGCTATTGAAGAGTCTTGAGTAACTTTGGCTTGACATTATTTGATGATTATTTAGAGTTCGTAATTGAATTTCAAAATTTCCAATAAGAACTCGACAAGCAACAAATCTCACAATGTCATTACTCGTAGATTTTCAACAAAAGAATCAAACAAGTACTAGTATTAATAAAGGATCGATCTATGTACGAAGTATGCCTACCAATCTATTCAGTAACCTTAAACTCCTCACAAGCCAGTTCGCACAAATCTTTAGCCGCAGCACCACCCAATATCTTCAAAACAGGAAGAGATACGCCCACCTCCTTCAAGAACCAACTTCGAATCTCGACTGCAATCAAAGAATCAATACCCAACTGCGTCAAAGGTGCACTCTCATCGATTGACCCCGAATCTGCCTGCAGGATAAGCTCCAACTGCTTCGCGAAGCATTTTTGCATAACACCGAATACCTCATCCTTTGTTTGCGCTTTTGCAAGTTGCTCCTTGGTCGGCACTTCAACCTCACCTTGAGAATCGCTCTCCTCATTGGTGAAATCATTCATGACGAATGCGAATCGAGGATTAGCATGCCATCGAGGTTTATCGCGTTCTTCACCCGTTAAGGGCGCGACCATACCAATGATGATTTCAGGACAACGATTGCTGGCTGGGTGTCCTGATTGCACTGCTTCGGATAATACTTGAAGGAATTCATGTTCGGGAATTGTGAGATAATTATAACTGCGTAAAGCAGACTCAGTGAATCGACCTGAGCGTTCAACATATCCAACTCCGAGAATCATACCAATATGAATGACCGATGCGACACCCCCGCGCTTGCGACGTTGCTCTGCGAGTGAGGCCATATACTACAGATTGTTAGTCGGAGAACGTTGTACAAGATGAGAAGAAGAATGACCACATACCATATTGGCGGCGGCGTAATTCGATTGTCCAGGAATTCCGTTGACGGCAGCCAAACTGGAGAACAACACGAAGAAGTCGAGTTCCAATCCGAATACGGCATCAATATTGATGGTACTGAGTACTTTAGGACGAATAACCCTCTCGAGTGTTTCAAAAGGCATATCTGAGAATGGTTTGTCATCCAAGACCATACATCCGTTCATCACTCCTGCGATTGGTGGCATTGTCTTGATTGCCTCTTCACGCAATCTGGTGACTGCTTCCTTGTCGGTAAAATCAATGGTGTAGACGAGAACAGCCGCGCCCATTCTTTGCAATTCTTGTTGCCATGGAGTGCCAGATTTGACAGATCTGCCAAGCGTTAGTAATGATTGTTGAAGCAGTATATCCCAAGGAGTTTATAAGAGCCTCAAACTTACCGACTACCAATAATGATATATCTAGCCCCGGCCTCAACCATCCACCTACAGATTGATTGTCCCAAGTCTCCAGTCAAGCCTGCTAATAAGTAGCTCTTGTTCTTGTCAAATATCTGGTTTTGGGAGAATGGCTTGACATCGACGGTCAGAGTTGTGTTACTCGTCCAATCTACAACGGAAAGTGGAGAGAACGAAGAAACATGACCATGTTTCAAGCTTCCGGCATTAAGTAAAAATCTTCCTTCAATATCCTTGGTTTTAGTTGAATCTGCATAAGATACAACATCAGCAAGAACTGTTGATGGGTCAACAGAAGATGAAGACTTTGCTGGCGTGACACCTAGGAAACCATCAATTTCGATTATGCTGGTGAGTTTTGTCAACGCGTCTTTGACATGTTTGCCGGTACCACTAATGTCGACGAATGATTGAATTGAAGCTGGTAGTAAGTCTCGGATGGCACGTTTAGACAAAGTGGGGTGAACCTTGATACAATTTTGAATTGACGTGGTAGACTTGGTGCTTGCAATATTTGAGATGGACTTTCCATCCGCTTTGGCTATTGACTCCACGGCTTGACTTAATGCAAAGCTTGGTTCGTGAAGCAGAACGCTTGAGGAACCTTTGTTCAATATCTGCTTTGCTAAGAGGTAAGCCATAGCACATTCGAGGTACTCAGGAGTAGCTTGACTGGCTGGAATGGACCAGTCTTTGGGAACAGTGATGAGTGACTGGTTCGACGCGGAGAGGGCGAGGATCGATGATCCGGATTTTGTCTTTCCTAGGATGATGTAAAGGAAATTACCGTCAATGTTCACGGTATACAAAGACGAGAAGGAGACAGAAATTTCCAACTCGTTTTCGCTATCA